TGAGTATGGGTTATTGGTGTAAGGCACTACCACTAGATTATAAAGTACGGCTATTCATAATAATCCTATACTGTGTAGTGGGTTCCAGGACACGGAGACGGCAGAGTAGAAGCAGCACTATGTATTTAAACCTTAACAAGGGTTACACTAGAAGGGGTAGCGGCCCCTCCACCCGTATAACTCAGGAACACACCCCAGGCTCTCTAGTCTAAGCTCTAGGCTCCCAGTTCCTCCTGGTAGGGCTCTAAGGGAGGCTATCAGATCCGGCCCTGGTTAGGCACAGATCTCGGCACCCCGCCGACCAGACTGGCCCTTAGAAGGACTCTGACTCTGGGGCTCTGGGGCCGCACCACTGGCTTGCTGTGCCGGCCCTGAAAAGGGCAGCGGTCACAGGTGTTCCAGGGTCTCACCTAGCTGGCCTTCTTTCTTCACTGGTTGCTTCAGCCTCGGGCCCAACACTCTGCCCCGAGCTCCCTGGCTCCCCGCACTTTATACCCACAGGGGGTGGAGCCATAGCGGACGTTGTTGTAGCCACCAAGGTGTGGGTGAACCACACCTTCCCGTGCCATGTGTTTATTCCCTCATAGCACCCCTACAACTGTACCCTATATTCCTACAATCCTACGCATGGACGTCGAGGATGAGCCATACCCTGGGCTCACCAAGAGCAAAGCACGGAATAATATAATCTCTATCAATATCAATACGGTCACTGCCATCGCGCGCTTTCAGATGCACTTATGCGGCTGTCTGGAACGCTCTTCCATCCAATATTAAAAAGCCACTGGGGCTATTCACTTTTAGATCACCATCCAGATTGAACACTCATTTCTTGAGAACTTCTTTCTGTGTTTGGTCGTCCTTCCCCCGCGTCTCCGATGAGTGCGGTTGGCTACGTACGTTGCGAAAGAAGTTCAACATACATACATCTGTCCCATCTGTATGGGATAGAGTATTACCCCCATCACGTGCGTGTTTTTTTTCTCCAGTATCCTCCCACATGCATACACACTCATTGGCTTAAAGCATCTTAATATATACGGGATCGCAGAGCTTGGGAAATAGTTGGAAAGACACTGGCTCATCGCCTGGCCGCTGCCTTCCTGCCTATCTCTGGTTCCTCAGTGACCGTGACGCGTGAGGTAAAATTTCGCGCGAAAGAACAAGCGATGCTACAGATACAACGAGAGACAAAGGGATGCACCGATTTCTACATTCTCAGATAGCGACTCATAGACTGGCACAGAGACCCACGCGCTCACATGGAGACCCATGGGCTCACATAGAATGACTTGCGAGTTGATGGTCTCAGCCCGGCTACAAATTACAGGTAGTCCCCGACTTACGATGGTCCGACTTACGATATTTCGATGTTACGATGGCGATAGCGATATGACAAAATTGTAAAATATATTTTTTTAATTTCGCGCGACAGGCAAACGCAGCAGCGTTCTGCGAGGTACGATACTGTAACTTGATCATCGCCATCCTCCTCTTCCGACAACTAAGTTAATGTAGCCATCAACAACCTAACATCGTTCAAGTATGCAGACGACGGACATAATCTTGGTGAGTACAGTATAATATGATACGTTACGATGCGTTCAATGCATATATATGATACATAGCTTTAGCGATTTCATTTTAGGGTTACCACGACACGATACGTTCAATGCATGTTAAAAGTTTTTTTTACAGCAGATAGGATGGTTTCCTGAAAAAAACTTTACATGAAATTGCAGCTCATATAGGTAGGCTAAGAATTTACTTATTTTTTTCTTTAAATTTTACTGTGCAATAGTATTGTGATTAATAAATACATACAGTATATAGTTTATTCAGTACTGTATTGTAAATCGCTCTGTTTTGCTAAATTATCACCATTCTTTAAGACGTCTGGGTAAGCTGGGCCCGTCTTCGACTTACGATATTTTCGACTTACGATGTGGTCGTCGTAACGTATCTCCATCGTAAGTCGGGGACTACCTGTACTTAGCAATAACCCCCATCATTGTTTTTAAATGTGGGTTCAGAACGTAATATTACTCTATTCTAATTCCCAGAATAATATATGATAATGCGGAAATATCACAGCAATGTGTGGGAAGGTGCGCCCCCAATTGTATGAATATTTTTTTAATGTCACTTTCATTTTGGAAGTTCACGGTCACCACAAAAACAAAGATCCCCCGTATAGCCTCTAACAGACGATGGGGGTACCTGCTGTTAGCAACGAGCGCCTATGAAAGCCGTCGTGGCACACAAGGGGGTGGGTGGCCAAAACCACGCCCGGCTGATGTTTACACACCGCACCAGGTACTCATTGATGTCTGAGTCGGCCTAGGGGAGGTAAAGATAATCGTCACTGGTGTTGGCCACGAGCAGGAATTCACATCCGTGTGTAGTGCAGCGTGCTAACCACTATACTATCGCTCCATTGATCTCCTGTATAGCCTTAACAGACTGTACGGGCAAGCGCTGTTAGCGAGCACCTATCAAGGTCGGCACGGCACACGAGGGGGTGGGTGGCTAGCACCACGCCCGGCCGCCTTTGTCTCCCCAGTGGCGATGTTTACACACCACACCAGGTACTCCAGCGGAGGCCCAGGACCAGTTCAGATAATAATCGTCACCGGTGGTGACGACTACACCACCACTCCCCGCTAACGGTCACAGTTTAGTCTTATAGGGTATATATGTAACCAATGGCGGAGCCAGGATTTTCAGGTAGGGGGGGCAACCCCTCCAGCAATGAAAAATGGTAGAGGAGTTGTTAGTAAGTAAGGACTTGTTAGTAAGTAAGGAGTTGTTAGTAAGTAAGGAGTTGTTAGCAAGTAAGGACTTGTCCCTTGCTTTTTATTCGACGCGTGTGCGGCGATGGCACAGCCATCGATCGAGGGTCAAATTCGAACCGCGTTGTTAGTGATCGGCATCGCGCTCGCTGAAGGTGAATGCCTTCAGGGAAGTCTCTGAACTGTATACGCAACTGCGCACAATTCTGTGAGTCGCTTATAACCGCTTTGCCGTTACTTATCGCCAATTATGGACTCAGACTATTGTCTAATCATCTCGTAGAGTCCCTGGCACGTAATAATATGCTACACAGTGGCAGTGGGGGTTCGAAAAATGCCGATTTATTACTAATAAACCCCAATGATCCAATCGAAATTAGGGATTTCGATCGGATCATTGGGAGGGCACGTGCCACCCACCCCCACTGGCTCAGCCAGTGTGTGTAACACGCTGTTAGCGAGCACCTATTAAGGCCGCCAGCATACAGTCACACACACATATATATGAGACACACACACAGTAAACTTCTGCATCAGGCAATCAATCAGTACACATTTTTCAGTTGGAAATAAAGACATTTTTATTTCTGAAAACACTATGCTTTTCTTTGAAATACGCGATCCAAGCGAGCATCGTTCGCAGCTGGCAATTGCGGTAATGCGGCTGCGGATCACCGATGAACACCAAGATTGTGAAATTGGCACACATCCGTGATGTGTTGTGATGTAACCCATTGACAACATCTCCACGTTCAAGGAAAAAACACCATTCAGCAAAATAAAATGTCATCTCGTTTCTCAATTGCTTGTGCTGTGCATGTTAACATCAACAGCAGGATGTTATAAACCAAAACCCAAACCATATACCGTATATATATATACCAGATAACCCACAACTAAGTTGTAAACATATTAATATTGATAGTTTATGATCGTTGCAGTGTATAACGATGAGCATCCCAGGTGAAGAGGTGAATTTCAGTTGCCGGTTTTGTTCCGAATAGAATTCAAGGTCCTTGGGATGGGTGGGACACGTGGTGTGCAGGGTGGAGGAGGACGGGGTAAGCAATTTGGAGGTTGTGAAGAGGAAGAGGAGGGAGTTATGATGGCTGGGACACGTGGTGTGCAGGGTGTAAGGTGGAGGATAGAGTAAGGATCTTTGAGATTGGGAATAGGAGGAGGAGGAGGTAGAAATGGTTGGGACACGTTGTGAGCAGCGTGGAGGAAGAGGGCCGGTCACCAGGACGGGCATTGGAGAGGCGCCCAGAGATGAGCGATAAAGGGGAATGCCTTTGTTGAGGTGTCGGGAAACAGCTCTGAAGAGTGGTCCATGAAGGATCCACCACCTCCCGAACTCACAACTTCCTAACCCATTAGCTCCGAACTCACAATCTGCGCGCCCTCCACCTTCTAAACAACCAGATTCCTACCATCTAATTCACCAGCTCCTCACTCACAGCATCCCCACCACTGCCTAACCCACCACCTCCTAACTCCCCACCTACCTACCCACCACTACCTCACTCACCATCTCCTGACCTCACCACCTCCAGACCCATTTCCACCCCTTGATCCATGGCCTCTTGAGCTCACCAGCCCCTGGCTCACCACCTCCTGACCTCACCACACTCGAACCTCATCACCACCTAACCTCACGACACTCTAGCCTCACCACCTCCTGACCTCACCATCCCCTAACCTCACCACCGCCTAACCTCACCTGACCTCACCATCCCCTAACCTCACCTGACCTCACCACCCCCTGACCTCACCACCTCCTGACCTCACCATCCCCTAACCTCACCTGACCTCACCATCCCCTAACCTCACCATTCCCTAACCTCACCTTTAAACCTCACCATCCTCTGACCTCACCATCCCCTAACCTCACCTGACCTCACCACCCCCTGACCTCACCACCTCCTGACCTCACCATCCCCTAACCTCACCTGACCTCACCACCCCCTGACCTCACCACCCCCTGACCTCACCATCCCCTAACCTCACCTGACCTCACCACCCCCTGACCTCACCTGACCTCACCACCCCCTGACCTCACCATCCCCTAACCTCATCACAACCTGACCTCACCACCACCTTACCTCACCACCCCCTGACCTCACCATCCCCTAACCTCACCACCACCTGACCTCACCACCACCTGACCTCACCACCCCCTGACCTCACCATCCCCTAACCTTACCACCACCTGACCTCACCACCTGACCTCACCAGCAACCACCGTCAACTCAGCACTTCTTAGCAAAGCACTGCTTGACCTGGGCACAGACCACGTGTTTGGTGCCTCCGCAGTCGCCGCCGCCACCCTTGGACCAAAGGCCCTGGCCGTGACCGTGGCCGTGACCGTGGCCGTGACCGTAACCGTGACCGTGGCCTTGACCGCATCCTCCACCCCCGATGTGCTTCACCGACACCACCTTGCCGCAGCCGTGATGGTGCTGCGACGTCTGCTTCCCAGTCTGGAAGCAGCCGTACTGCTTCCCGCTGCCACCTCCGCTGCAGCAGCAGCCGCTCTGCTTGCAGATCACCATCTGGTGGCCGCCGCCGTGGCCGCCGCCGTGGTGACCGCCGTGGTGACCGCCGTGGTGACCGCCGCAGCAGCCGACCTCGGCGTCGCCCATGTCCTCGAGGTACGGCTGGTACTCGTAGTCCTGGTACTCGTAGCTGCGGGATTAGGCGCAGAGGTGACGCGGGGGTCGTTGGCGCACGCACGCGGTTCACAGCAACACATGTAGCAAGGGTCCCCCCCCCCCCCCCCCACGTTGAAGTCTGCAGTGGTTCTTAACCTTTCACTGCAGCCTTGCTCCCCGTTTCTTTCTCAATCGTAAACAAAATGTATGTAAAATGTAAATGAATATGTAGGTTTCACGAAACAAAGTAAAGTTGTTTCCTTGCGTTGCCCATGCTTAATTTGTGTTTTTGATGATTTAACTTCTTAAAGAAAAGAGGCCATATCTCGCACACACCCTGAAAGGGCATCTCGCACTCCCAGGGGGTGCGTGCACCCCAGGTTAAGAACCACTGGCATAGACGAAGACAAATATCCCCTCGTTATAGCTTTAACCAACACTTTTTTAGGGGGGGGAGGGGCGGGAGCCAAGTGCTGTTGGCGAGTAGTCCCTCATCAAGGCACGGCACACCAGGTGGGTGGGTGGCCAGCACCACGCACGGCCCCCTTTGTCCACCACCTCGTGGCGATGTTCACGACACACCGCATCAGGCTGAGTCGACTGGTTCACTAACCACTACACTACATTAGTCCTCAATATAACGGTCCCCACAACATCAGGAGTTCCTATCCCCGACACGCTGACGTCAATCTCTGCAACCACTCGACTGGGAGTGGGTACCCCGAGGTGTGACGTTACGTGATTGGCGGCTGGGGAGATGAGGTAACAACAGGGATGCAGGGGAGGGGCAGGAAATGGGAGAGGGGGACCGTGGTTGGTTGAGAAGGGGGCACGAGGATGGACGATAGGAGAGAGCTGTGGATGAAGGAGGGAGCTGTGTGTGTGTGTGTTACGGAGGTGGAATAAACAAATTGGAACCCCCTATGGCAGATTTCAATTAGTGTTTGTTTCTAGATATAGCTTGGTTTTAATGATAATCTATATTTTATTTTAATATTTTTTTTACATTGTGATTATGATTATCTAGCTATTTTTTATTTTGCTATGAGTGATTTATTTTACTGTGACTTATTGCGTTTGTTGGAGAAACGGCAGTGTTGTTGTTTTTGTCGATGAAACACGATTTCAGAGCTTCTTCTGATCTATCTCGCCGTGTTGGTTAGGAAAGTGTAAGTAAGTAGGTAAAACTCAGTTTTATATACAGCGGCCACTCGCACAAGGCCTCGCAGAGCTTTACAACACAATCCCAGTAAGAACCCCTGAACGTTAAAACTAAGGGGCGAACAACCCCTACCCGCAAGAGAGAATAAATGTGTTTTCAGACGAGCCCTAAAAACGTCGACTGACGCAAACGTCCCGAACGGACTGGTGCAAGGCGTTCCACAAACGAAGCGCCTGACTACCGAGCGCCCATTGAATGCCCAATCTGCCCTTAGCCCCACTCAGGCGCACGGTTTTGGTGACTCGAAGTTGCCGGGCCAGGGCCATGTGGCTCCGCCGAGATATAATGAAACTAATCCCTTTTAAGGGCCTCGGAAGTGAGTGCAGGAACTTTTAATTCGCTATTTTACTGGACGTCAATGCAGGGAACGCAGAATAGGTGTGACATGCTCACATTTCCTCCGTCCGAGTGGCCCCTACAACAACAATAATAATAATGAACCCGGTGAATAGTGCATGCCAGATATTTCCACGTGGCAGCTGCCCCCTACGATGTGTCTTAACTTGAGCGGTTCCAATGTCTTTTACGTGCCAAATAACAGCAAATTATGTGACCACCGTTTGAAATGAAATGGGGTCATCAACAAGTTCAATCATATTATCTGTTTCAATACTTCGTTCCAATACTCACTGAAGTGTCGCTGCTCCTACCGTAGGTCGTTACTTATTTCTGCTATGGCCCATGGACGATACTAATTGTTAACAAGGTATGACAGCCAAGGGACGCTGCCGTTGTGTTAATGGCTGGCACACTGCGCTTGTCCGTCTGCCTGTCTCTCTGTCTGCCTGCCTGACCGACTGTTTCGCCAACCTTTCCGTTTGCAAGTCTGTTTGTCTGCCTGTCATTTAGTAAGTCCCTCTTTGCCATTCTGTTTGCCAGTGTGTCTGTATAGACGGCCAGCCATCCTGTCCATCTGTCCGTCTGCCCATCTGTTTGCCAATGTATCTGTCTGCGTGTGATTCAGCCAGTTTGTCAGTCCACCAGTCTGTATATAATTCATTACGTCTTTCTTTGCCAGTCTGTTTGTCAATGTGTGTGTGTGTGTGCCAGCAAGTCCTTCCGTCCATCTGCCCATGCATCTACTAGTATATAAAATATATTCGTCTGACAGTCGGCAAAGGCAGTCTGCCGGTCTGCCTATCTGCCCGTCAATCTGCCGGTCGGCCAGCCAGTCAGCCAGTCAGCCAGCCAACTTGTCAAGCCTCTCCTTACCTGGCCATCCCTGCAGGCTGTGTCGTCGCTGTCGCGTTAAGGGGCTCCGAGGGCGGTTGCGGCTGATGAGGCTGTCACTGTTGACCTGTCGCACGACGTGTGAGAGTAGTAGCAGAGAGAGAGTCGCGGGTACTTATAGCCGGGCAAAAAAAAATCGTGCCGGGTGTGGTTCTCTGTTCCTCGGCGTTGAGAACAACACTCGTTAATCGTTGTTGATTGTTCTTTTCTCGCTGGGGGTTGTGTTTGTGAGTTTGCAGGAGTGTTTACCTGTGCCAGCTGGAATGCGCGAGACGCTCTTGATGCCGTGGGAAGAAAATTATCTCCGAAAGAGGATAATCGTTTTGGAGTGCCGCCGACATAATAAGCCCCCTTCTAATAGAGCAGGGGCGGTTAGGAGCGTGTAGCCCTCATCAGGGATAGTTGGGGCAAGTTGCTGTTCGCGAGCATCTGTGAAGGCCGGCACGGCATGCGAGTGCGGCGGGTGGGCCAACGACACGTCCGGCCGCTTTTGTCTTCTCGCAGTGCCGTTCATTTCATTCACACCGCACCAAGGGGTTTTTTTTGTTGGTCGTGAGCGGGAATCGAACTTGGCTTGAGGGGGGGGGGGGTCCGCCAGGTTCATAGCGTGGTGCGGTGCTAACCGCGGTGCCACCGCTCCCCGCGAAGGCCAGGTAAAACAAAGGCAAAGATCCCTAGCCTGTTAACAGACTGTTAGCGAGTAGCAGCACCTTTGAAGGCCGGCATGGCACACGAAGCGGGGGGGGGGGGGGGGTGGTGGTGGGTGGCCAGGCCGCCTTTGTCTCCTTCATGGCGACATTTGCACATCGCACCAGGGTACCCATTTAATGATGAGTCGACCTAGGGGAGGCCCATGACCGGCTCAGCTCCTCATCACCGGTGTTGGCCGTGAGCGGGCGGGGGGGGGGGAGGGAATCGAACTCGGGTCGCCGGGTTTGTCGCGCTAACCGAGACCAATTACGGCCACACATTCACACACTCACTCACGGCTCAAGGGACAACTCCTTACTTACTAACCACTCCTCTATCATTTTTCATTGCTGGAGGGGTTGCCCCCCCCCCCCCCACCTGAAAATCCTGGCTCCCTGCCATTGGTTTTAGCAGTGGTGTTGCGGTTAGTTCACTGCGCTGTGAACCCCGTGAACCGGGCAATTATGGTATTAGGTGAAGGGACCAAAGGCGCAGCCCTTGCAATTGCCAGGCTCGCTCCACTGCTGGCGCGGAAAGAGGGGGGGGGCTCCGCTGGAGGGAGATTCTCAGGAGACCCACACTAGGATCAGGTTCAACACCTGCTTAGCTCTTGAAGCCGCTGAGCATGCAGGCATTCTTCGCTTCTGGACTCACGCGAACGGAGGAGCTGAGCCGCACGAAATCGTGGGTCCCAAACGGGCGCCGCGGTGGCTATGAGATGTTAACTACCTCGCCTGGTATACAGGAGGTTCGTGGGTTCGATCCCGACCCTGACGCCTGCTACTGTATATTTGGAGTTTGCGTCTCTCATTATCATCAGGGTGGCTTGGAGATGTCGACTACCTCGCCTGGTATACAGGAGGTTCGTGGGTTCGATCCCGACCCTGACGCCTGCTGCTGTATATTTGGAGTTTGCGTCTCTCATTATCATCAGGGTGGCTTGGAGATGTCGACTACCTCGCCTGGTGTACAGGAGGTTCGTGGGTTCGATCCCGACCCGGACGCCTGCTGTAATTTGGAGTTTGCGTCTCTCATTATCATCACGGTGGCTATGAGATGTTAACAACCTCGCCTGCTATACAGGTGGTCGTGGGTTCGATCCCGACCCTGACGCCTGCTGCTGTATATTTGCAGTTTGTGTGTGTCTCTCTCTCTCTCTCCTCTCTTCGTGGTCGCGTAGATTCATCTCCGGGTCGTCCGGGTTTTCCCTCCACATTTCGATTATTTGGCTGCAATACATTTCCACGAGAAGATGAGCCACTTCGTTGGGCCATCATTTGTGGCCAGGTCGCTTGGGAAAAAGAAGCTTACGTAGCCCAGCGGGCCTTAACTGGTAACAATAATAAAAAAAAAGCATTCAACGACGGTAATTGATGCCAAATGTTGGTCGCGCCGAAACTGTTATGCATACAACGCAGCTCTTGACGGACAATCGGCGAGGCATGAGCGAGCTCAAGTTTGTACCAATCGTGTGCTGCTCAGTGGGTAATTCTTACCCGGTAAAATAAAATTCTAAAATTCGTTTAATACAAGGAAGATGAAGATTCAAAATTGCCCCCAGCCCGGCACAAGTGCCACGGTGACTTTACCGTCGTGCGGTACCGATCGTTTCGCGTGCCAGCGAGCGTCGTTCTCACGCCCCCGCCACCACCCACTCCCCACCACCACTTGAATAATTACGGCCGCTGTACAAAACATGAAACTTTACGTGGATTTAACCCACCCATTAACTAAAAAAAATCCCTCATCAGAAGGGGCAGTGGTCGGGGCTCAACTGGCACTTGTCCAGTTCACAGGGGAGGCAGGAGACGAGCTTCTGCAAAACAAACTGGCACATACTCTCTGGTTCTTTCGGTGAAGTCATGTAGATAGAAAAAAAATATTATGAGACCTCCTTTGCCAGTAACAAGATATAGTAATAGGTTTCACCCTTTTAACTGGCACAAAAACTGACACCTTTATTCAAGGCATCATGTTTGCAATAACCACAACACAAGCAGTCAAAATGCAAACAAAAGAGACAACTCTGATAATAATATGCACTGTCCTTGAATTTGATTGGTCCACACCCGAGACAGCTTTTCTTAGAGCCTTGTCTCCACTGGTGTTGGACCAGAAGACGCCAAAAGGCGTACAACTCAAAAACAGCGCACTATCTGAGTTGTCTCTTTTGTTTGCATTTTGACTGCTTGTGTTGTGGTTATTGCAAACATGATCCCTTGAATAAAGGTGTCAGTTTTTGTGCCAGTTAAAAGGGTAAAACCTATTACTAGAAAAAATAGTAAAAGAACACGACGTTTCGGTCGCAACACAAGCGTCCTTCGTCAGGAGAGCCAACCACGCCAACGGCAACACCCACTGCCAAACCCCCAGGAGGCAGATCCTAGGCCTTGGAAACGCGTTGTCCCTATTTTCCATGTTAATGTTTTTGTGAGGCGGAATTTTGTTTGTGTCGAAGCTTTCGTGACTGCAGGAATTACTCTTTGGTTCTTTCGGTAAAGTCACGTAGAGAGACAATTAATTAAATAACAGAGTACGACGTTTCGATTGCAACACAAGCAGTCGTCATCAGGTAGAACTAACTTTGAGAGAGGGACAAAACACAGACACGGAGACACGCAGACAGACACACAAGCAGATAGTGTGTCTCTGTGTTGGTTCTACATGTGGAGGGAAAAACCGGAGGACCCGGAGAGAAAACAATCCACGCGATCACGGGGAGAAAGAGAGACGCAAACTCCAAATATACAGCAGCAGGCATCAGGGTCGGGATCGAACCCACGACCTCCTGTGTACCAGGCGAGGTAGTTAACATCTCATAGTCACCGTGATGATGATGAGAGTGAGAGACAGCAAACTCCAAATATACAGCAGCAGCAGGCGTCAGGGTCGGGATCGAACCCACGACCTCCTGTACACCAGACGAGGTAGTTAACATCTCCTAGCCACCGTCATGATGATGAGAGACGCAAACTCCAAATATACAGCAGCAGGCATCAGGGTCGGGATCGAACCCACGACCTCCTGTGTATCAGGCGATGTAGTTACTGTAACATCTCCTAGCCACCGTGATGATGATGAGAGTGAGATATGCAAACTCCAAATATACAGTAGGCGTCAGGGTCGGGATCAGGATCGAACCCACGACCTCCTGCACACCAGGCGAGATAGTTAACATCTCCTGGTCACCGTGATGATGATGATGATGAGAGTGAGAGACGCAAACTCCAAATATACAGCAGCAGGCGTCAAGGTCGGGATCGAACCCACGACCTCCTGCATACCAGGCGAGGTAGTTAACATCTCCTAGCCACCATGAGCTCAGATCAGATATCCCACTTGTCGGTGAAATAACTCTCGTGGTTCCATTTTCTGTACGTGGCCGATAACAGTGAATGATGTGATGACCGTCTGAAGTGAGTGTGGTTATCATCGCGTTATTCTCACTTATTGTAAGTATAAATACATCGGTATGGCGCTACCTTAAGCCGTAGCAATGCCAACGCTGGGCCACAGGACCGCTGGATAGCCTCCATAGGTTGGTTGAGGCAAGTGCTGTTAGCAACCATCTGGGAAGGCCGGCACAGCACGCGAGGTGAGTGGGTGACCAGCACCACGCCGGGCCGCCTTTGTCCCCTCCAATGCTGATGTTTAAAAACATGAAAACGTTGGGCCAACGTTGCCATGTGGTGGGATCCGTTGACCGAACGCTGAGCCAAAGTTGTCGCGCAACGTTCCATGTTTACTGGTTTGCGCTCAAGAGGCATTTGGCCCAAATGTTGAGAAAATAATCTCGCTTCGAAGTAGCGATACCACGATTTAGGAACTTTCAGAGATACGAACAAACCTCTCCGTTTGTCCAGTTGCCCGTTCGGACCTAGAGTCGTAAGTTCAACTGCCGCACAACACACGGCGGTGGTGGTGGCATCTACATCTACAGAACGTGAAGAACCAGTGACATCTACATCTGCAGAACGTGAAGAACCAGTGGCATCTACATCTGTAGAACGTGATGAACCAGGACATCTACATCTGCAGAACGTGAAGAACCAGTGGCATCTACATCTGCAGAACGTGAAGAACCAGTGGCATCTACATCTGCAGAACGTGAAGAACCAGTGGCATCTACATCTGCAGAACGTGAAGAACCAGTGGCATCTACATCTGCAGAACGTGAAGAACCAGTGGCATCTACATCTGCAGAACGTGAAGAACTAGTGGCATCCACATCTGTAGAACACGAAGAACCAGTGGCATCCACATCTGTAGAACATGAAGAACCAGTGGCATCTACATCTGCAGAACATGAAGAACCAGTGGTATCTGCATCTGCAGAACATGAATAACCAGTGGTATCTACATCTGGAGAACTTGAAGAACCAGTGGTATCTACATCTGCAGAACTTGAAGAACCAGTGGCATCCACATATGCAGAACATGAAGAACCAGTGGCATCCACATCTGCA